GCGGGGGCAGCGGCGAGGCGCGCTGCAGCCTGCGGCAGCACTGCGGGGCCACGGCCGCACAGCCCTGGCTCGACTGGTCCAGCCGGAACGTGAAGTGCTCCAACCCGCGCATCACCGAGGTAAGCGAGGGCCCTGCCCACCCCCGGCCCGCTCCCCTCCTCTTCGGCAAAATTGACCTGTATCCCTTTCCATCTAGTCTGAAAACGCATCCTCCTCTGGCCTGCACCGAGGAAGGGGGAATAAAACGCCCCACTACTTTCTGTGAAATTAATTTGCAGATTCCTCAGCACATGAGCAGGGTTTGCAACCCCGCTCGGCAGCTGTCACTCGCCCGGCATCGCTATCAGCACTGGGGTGACCGCTATGGACTGTTGCATGAATGCTAATTAAACTAGGGAGCTAATTAGTCTATAGTTGATGTTTCTGATGTTTCTGCTCAGACCACTGAGGGATGCAAAATGTCTCCCAGGAGCATTTTTACCAGTAAAACTGCTCTTGCTCTGTTAATGTTGCTATTAGGAGTGACGCTCATATCAGGTGGGGATGAAAGCAGGTTTCGGTTTTTCACTTAATTAACTGCCCCCAGCAGCCTCCCTTGTCCTGAGCATGTGTCCGTGCTGCAGGAGGAGGAGGCACTGCTGTAAAACAGCCTCGTAGCAAAGCGGCCCCGGCGCTGGTGGCTAAGCAAGGGCACGGGGAAGGAGGCAGGGCTGAGCACTGGTGCGCTTGGGACACCCTGACAAAGACCCTGGCGCAACGTGGAAGTCCCCTCTTACCATAGTTTCTAAACTAGCCCCCTTTCCAAAGTTTCTAAACCCAACCAGCCCTGAGCCCAGCGGTGACGGGTTGGCCCATGGAGCCCTGTGCCCACCCTGCCTGGCAGCAGAGGCACCTCGGAAATAGTGGCTCAGAGGGTTTCCTTCCTCCAAATCTTTTTAAGGAAGTAAATGAGCTCTCTGTCCCTTGCAGCAGTGCTCTGGGGGCACAACGTTATGTTGTCAGATGCCAGAAGCAAAACAGCGTCTGCCTGACATTTTCTTCATCATAAACTGTTCAGACAGTTGAAACATTTAGAAGTCTGAGATTTATTTACCCCTCCTTGAGCTAAGCAAAGAAGGGGAAAAAATACTCTGTTCCAGCCACTAAATAATTTGCATCAGAGCATTTTGAGGCTGGCTCTCACTGCTGGCTGCAGGCATGGCACTGCCACAGAGTATTTTATCACTGTCCAGCTTGAAAGCAATATTTTTGGTCGCTGTCCAAGGAGAAAAGAGCCGCGCTTTGCTGTTGCACTTTTCTTTCTTCATACCCGGGGCTGGTGTCCGCCTTGGAAGCGGAGCAGTGACCTGGCCAGGGATGCTCCGAGGCTCCGGAGGTGACACCGGGATTAGGAAACAGCTTTGCTGGCAGCTCAGCCTGTTCCACGGTGAGGGTTGGCAAGAGAAAAGATGCATTTTGGGGGGATGTTTATCCCCTCAGCTGGCTGGGGCAGTGCCGTGAGCTGCCGTGTCGCCCATGGGGTGGAAAAGCAGGACGCGGTGACGGGGATCTCGCTCTGCCGCGCGCTGGCGTCGCCCTCCCGGACTAGAGTCGTGTTGGGTCTCGTGCAAGCGCTGCCCTTCCAGACACCCGGGCTCATTCGCACTAAGAGCAGGGGCTTTTCCACTCCTTTCGCTCTCCACGGCCAGTTTCCCTCTCCCGGTCTCCAGCCATAGGTCAAAGGCCTGGCCCCAGCTCCCGGGGGCTGCAGAGCTAGCAAGAAGAGATCATTTCTATTGGCCGTCAGCATAAATCAGCAGTTGGATGTGCACCGTGCTCTTGTTTGCACAGCCTGGCGGTGGGGTCACACCGTCGCTGCCAGTGTCCCTTTAACAGCATAAAACTTGCACCCGCCCTAGGGTCTCGGCAATAAATAAATAAAAATCCGTTTCCTCGCGAGCAAGCGGCGCTCTGATCTGCTCTTGGTTTATTTGCAGGCCTCATTAATATAACATCAGTGCAACAAACAGCTGGGGGGGGCGGTGTCAGGCTCAATCAGGGGGCTGCTCTGCTGACATAGCGGCTCCATCCCCACGGATGGAACCGTCGGATGCGGCACGGAGGGATCCCGCCGGGATGACGGTGCGTGTGTGCCGGGCCCGCCGCGCTTCCAGGGAGATGGAAGAGCTGAGGAGACAGGGCTGGAGCCGGCGTGTGGGGCAGCCGGCCTGGGCGTCCCCGAGGAGGCTGCACCCACGGTGCATCCGTGTCCTGTGGGTGACACAGGGGCAGAGTGCCAGGGTGAGCAGGCCTGTCCCGTGTCACCGTGTCTGTGTCACCTGTGTCTGCATCCTCTGTTTTGATAGTGCTTTCCTCTGAGGCTGAAAACCCCTGTGCCAAGCACATCAGTGCTGGTTGCATCACCTGAGTAACTTGTGTAACACAACGAGCACTTTTTAGAGCTGATAGGAAACAAATAAGTCCAATTTGGGGGAGAAAATGTTTTTTCCTACTCCTTTTTGTCCCAGTGCTGCGGTCTGCGGAGGGGCCGGGCGCCCTGCGCGCGCCGCGCTCGCCGCCGCTGGACCTTGAAGACTTTCCTTCTTTCTGGGATTTGGGCTGAATCTCCCCAGCTGTAATTAATTGCATGCATCTGCTCTAACCCTGGGGCTGCTTTATGGCACAGTTACTTCAAAACTGTTCAATTAGCGGCCATGAAAATCTAGGTCGAGCGGAGCTCCGTGTTGGGGATTTTCCAGGTCAGGACATTCGGAAAATACCGAGTCAGCTCGGCTGGGCCGGGCCGCGCGCGCCACGGTCACGACGTGGCAGACGTGCGGGGGGACGGAAGCGCTCGGCGATGAACCTGCCAGTGCCACAGCAAAGGCACTTGAACGGGCTCCAAAGCCACCAAGGACGGTGGTGGCCATGTGGCTCGTGCTCTGCTGAGGTCGGGTGGCTTCCGATGGTAAAGGAAGGTGATGCTGTCCTGGGTGCAGGAGGGACCGTGCAGCTTCAGAGCACCCGCTCGCCCTCCAGCATCACCCCGTGCACAGCAAGGAGGATTTGTCCCTTGGGTCCCCACGGGCTCCGGGGTAGGGAGAAGCGCGAGCCCCGCGCTTGTGCAGAGGCCAAACCTTCCTCCGCGGCCTGACCCGTGTCCCCTTCCCCTCCGCAGATCCTGACGGTGTCGGGCCCCCCGGAAGGCGGCACCCGGGTGACCATCCGCGGCGTGAACCTGGGCCTGGACTTCTCCGAGATCGCCCACAACGTGCAGGTGGCCGGGGTGCCGTGCGCGCCGCTGCCCGAGCGCTACGTCGTCGCCGAACAGTGAGTGCTC